CCAGCGTGAGGAGCTGGACCTGGTTCTCGTCGTTCTCGGCAATGACCGCCCAAGCCTTCCTGTGGTTGTTGTCCACCACGCAGCAGGCACTCGACCAGAGGTAGCTGGGCTTATTAACCCTTCCCTTGGCGATATAGTTGTTCCCAGGCACAGCTCCCACGATGACGTAGGTGATGTTACAGCCCTGGGTATTCCTGATCATCGTTTGCTGCTCGTAGTTGTTCCAGGCGCCGCCGTTGAGTTTCTCGTCCTGGGGCACTATGTTGGTGAGGGTGAAGGTAGCCATCCTGCTGCTGTAGTCGAGGTGATGGCCATTGGGGTTCAAATGGCCCCGGTTCAAACCCGTCAGGTTCTTGTAGTCTTGGAGAATAGCCTGGCTCTCGCTGATTTTCTCTAAGCTGACATTGTAATGCTTCATCAGCGTCCACTCTTTTTCCATAGTTTTGGGGTAAGTTGGGCCCATCAGCTAGACAGGTAAAGAAGAGGAAAAGGTGTTACTGCTGGGGATGGGAGTAATGGAGCAGGTTTCCCTGGAGCAGAGGTCTCCAGGTGTCAAGAACATGTTTTTTGTCATCTCAGTGTATGTAAATGCATAAATCCAGAGAAATCCTATAGCTGCCGCCTCCTGGATGAACACAAGAGCTTTAAGGCAAAAGACACTCAGAGTCTGACTGCTCTCTTTTTGACTTGTGGCCTTTGTGATCCAGCCTGCAGCCTGTGCTGGGAGTGTGGTTGGGTACATGAGACAATGAGCATTTTTGTCTTCCAGGTTTGAAAGGTGACTTTGGTAAGACATGTTCTCTGTCACACCTTGTTCCCTTTTCACCTGTCTCCCCATCCCACATCTGCCCAGGCATCTTCTCATTTCCTCTAACTCCCACTAATCACATCCAACCTTAATCCCCTGCATTTGATCACACTGTCACCTGCCTTGACCTTTTCTGCACACAGCATCATTTTCACAAGAGTTCTCTCGCTCCCTATGAAAGGTTTTCATGGGGTTTTTTAATCCAATCTGTCAGCACATAAGTGCTTTCCAAGTTCAGGGAAAGCAAGGACTTGCATATCCTCTTTGAAGGCTGGACAGGATGGGAAGAGGATGAGCGGAAAAGCTGTGGTGCTCCTAGAACTTCCAGGAGGAGATAAGGACTCAGCCCCATCTCCTCCTTTCCTTCTCTACCCCTTCCTTGGGAAGAAGTATGGCCATTTTACCAGGGCATTGGGTGAGAGAACAAGGGCAAATGGCTTCAAACTGACAAAGGAAAGGCATAGATTAGGTATTAGGAAGAAGTTTTTCCCTGTGAGGCTGGTGAGGCACTGCAACCTTTTGACCAGAGAAGCTGTGGATGCCCCATCTTTGGAAGTGTTCAAGGACAGGTTGGCTGAGGCTTGGAGCAACCAGGTCTAGTGGAAGGTGGCCCTGCCCATGCAGAGAGGTTGGAATGAGAGGATTTTTAAGGTCTTTTCAAACCCAAACCATTCTATGAGTCTGTGATTGTATGCTTTTACCCCTACTAAATGTGGAGGGTGCGGTGGTGCAATATCCGTATTAGTTGCTCAAGTTCCTATGAGTAACAAGTGAAAATGTTTTTTTATTTCATAACTACAGCACATTTCTTTTCATCTTTAGGGAAACATTTTGAGCCTTCCTCTGGAACAAGACATGGGGCTTTCTTCTGTTGCTCATTTTGATCTAAAACCCATCTGCTACTGCATCCTTAGCAATACCCTGAATTTCCTCTCTTTCTGTTCCATAATTTTCTTGGCCTATTTTATTGAAGCTCTGAATTTTTTCCAAAGGAGGTTTGGGAGGACTATATTGTTTGTGGAGGTCTGTATTTGTGATGGATTCTTCTGAAGCAAGCCTGAGGCAACAGTGCTCAGGGGCAACTGCCCATGGTTGGAGATCACCCCCTTCTGACTGGACTGACACTGATGCTCCTCACTTTTCACTGCCTGAAATATCCCTCAATAAATTCCTCAGTGTTCAACAAACCCTCTCATCACTCAGTGCCTGTGCCAAGGCTTTTTCCTTGCTCATCCCACCCAATTCTGAGTTTCTCCTCACTTCTCTCCTATCACTTACAAAGCCTCTTTGACTCTTAACTGGGAGCAATTAAGCTCTGTCAAGGATGCAAAACAGCTCAGGGCAAAGTGGAGATCCCAGCCCAGCAGGACTGTTGCTCCCCCAAATTTAGCTGCTGTTGGATGCCTTTTCCCCATCACTGGGTCTCCCAGCACAGCAGGGCACAGAGAGGGAGGTCATTTGACTTTGGAATGGAATGGAATTGGACTTGATGTTGCTTTCAGGTCGTTGCAGAAAACTGGGCACCTTTGGGATAGAATTCATCTCATCCTCCTGCTGATGTCTCTGACACATCAGAGGATCCATGTGGTGCAGGTGTTTGAAGTAAGATGAGATGACTCTCACCCAGTGGCTTCATTTACATGTGTGTGTGTGTGGAGGTGAGAGGAAACAGAAGTGTTTATTTAAATACTGCAGTTCATGTTTTATTTTAATGTCTGGAAGGTGACATGCTGTTAGAGAGGACACTCACCTGGGGCTCAACCAGCCACCCTTTAGGTCGTTTGCCAGGTCCAGGCTCATAGATGTAAGCAGAGTACACGGGAATACGCTCCTTTCTGTTGTACAAGGTGGCAAAGAAATACTGGTTCTTGTAGCGCTGGCAGATCCAGGCTGGGTCCTGTGGCTCCAGAGCTTCATTTGGGGGGATCTCCCGGAAGAAAAACTGAGGACATGAACTTTCAAAGGATGCCACCACCTCACCCTGTCCCAGCCAGAGGCAGCTCGCCCAGACCTGCAGCAGCAGCAGCCACAGCATGGCAGGAGGATTTCAGGTGAAGGGCTCTTGCTTCCCTGGAAGGCAAATGCAGAGGGAAACTCAGTTTGGAGAGTCATGGCCTGGAGTCATTTTTGTGCAGGTGGGACACAGCTGGCAGGAGGGGACTGTGAGAGACCAAGGAGGGGATAACTTCTGTCCTCTGGGATATGGAAAAATCAGCAGGGCAATAAGGGTGTGTAGGAAGATGACTGGGGGTAAAAGGATAACAGTACAGAAATTACAGGGGAAAATATGGTTGATACTCCCTGGATGGAAGACAGTCAGCATACCTGGACTCCCACACACAGCACAATCTAAGGGGACTTAACAGTGGGTGCAGCAGAGCAGGGACACCATGGCCAGGCCCTGCCAAAACCCTTGCAGAGGAGGGACTCAGTGGTACTTTCTAGCTGATAAGCTGCACTGCAGCTGAAATCCCAGGGAGATAAAGGAAGATGTCCTGATGTTGAATCAGCCACCGTGGTGAAATCACTCTCCTTGGACTCACACCTGTCCCTATCCCAAGGTTATCTCAGGTACTTACACTGAGATATCCACCCCCAAGCTGCAACCATCTTCCACTGAGTAATATGTATGAATAAAATCACACAGGCTCCACCTAAATGTAAAGAGTAAAAGTGAGTTAAAAATGGAGAGAAGTGAGGGAAGACTCCATCATAACTTCTGGGATCAGCTGATGGGCTGAACCTGCCTTCTCCCCCACAGGGACACCTATGGGTAAAACCATACTCTGTGAGGGCTGACTGATTATCTCCAGCCAGCTTTTTCAGGGGATTAGAGCTTGTTAGTATGTTGCTTTGAATTAGTGTATTGCTTTGAATATAGTTTTGCAGTCAGATACTATCACTGGCCACCCTCAAGCCTTAACCTGCCACACAGTTTTATTAATAAAAAGTGTTATGATAGAATCATAAAATCATAGAATATACTGAGTTGGAAGGGGGCCAGCAGGATCACTGAGCCCAATTTGTGGGACACAATCCCATTATGTGCCTGAGAGTATTGCCCAGATGCTTCTTGAGTTCTGTCGGGCTTGGTGCTGTGACCCCTGCCCTGGGGAGCCTGTTCCAGTGCTCAACCACCCTCTGGGTGAAAAAAGCTTTTCCTGATACCTCACCTACACCTCCCCTGACTTGGCTTCATGCCATTCTTTCTCCCTTCTGCTCTGAGGGTCTTTTCCCAATAGAGAACTGCAGCTGGCAACAGACTCCGCTCAACCACCTGCAATTAGTTCATGGGGCATTTGTCAGGGAAATAACAGCAATGCTGCATTTCCTACAAGTCTCTGCCCCCATCCAGGTTCACACAGATATGCAGCTCTTCCATTCAGGTGCCTTATTGAACCCAAGATTGACCTGGCTCTCAGCTGACAATGGGATATTGAACTACATATACCCTTGCTCTGACCCAAGACATCTGGTCCTTTATCTCCCTACAAGCCCCGGATCAGGAAGGTGACGACCAAGGAGCTGGTCAGAAACAGAGAACAGAAACCACAAGCTGTGGCTTTTTACAGTGCTCTGCAGAGCAGGACTGTCTCTGCCCCAAATCAAGAGAGAAGTTCCTGAAAAGTCCTTTTGCAACACCCCCTCCACGAGCTTAAAATATATCTAAGATCATATCGAAAATACAGAAACCTACCGTGGAAAAGATCAGCTCAGGACTCCGCTCACAGCCCCAGAGTGAAATGCCTCTGCTGCAGCCTGAGACTGGCTGTTTATATATGATCCCCCTGGAAGGAAAGTTGTAAGATTTCCCAAAACAGGGTTTGGAGTAAGTTTGCCCAGGAGTGCAGCCAGCACCTGTGTTTGTCCCGAGGTCTTTTGAAAGGTCATGGGTGGAATTTTGGTACTCAGCAAACTCACCCTGCCTTCTTATTCAACACCATGGTGTGAATTTTTCAGGTGACTTGACTTGAATTTCTCTCCAAAATCGATTCTTCTGTCCTTGCCCTCCTTAACAGAAAATGTTAAAGAGCTGCACAATTCAGTGCATCCATAAACTCTCATTTCTCCATGGGAGGCAGATGTTGGAGCTCAGCAACTCCAGCCTATGCTTTGTCTGATCTATTTCTTCCAAAGCTAAGGAAACACTTGAAATACTGGAGTCAGTGTTGAGGAAGGAGCAAGAGCTTACCTTGAAGCAGAGTGTCAGAACAGGCAGCTGAGCCGCTCCTTGCCTCTTCTCCCTGGAGAAACAGCTGTCTGATCCCTCAGGATTCCCACTGCAATATATACCCGGTTGTAAATCTGCCCCTTTTGATAAACAGGGAATTCCACAGCAAAGAAAGTTTTGCTGTTGTTACTCAGGGGAGATTTGTTCATGCCTGCCCAGAAATGGGGAGACAGTTGCTATTTGCAAGTTCCTCAGGATATTTCCCAGCTTCACTGACTTGCAGCATCACGTGTCAGGAGCAGTTAACTGGGTCTGGTGACTTCCCTGTCCATTTCCTCATTCCCCACAGGCTGCAGCTGCTGCTGCAGCAGAACACACATGTGGCTCTGTACCCAGCAGAACATCTCTGGTGGCATTAGACAGACCAGCCTGCCTCTGAGTACACTCAGATGTTCACAGTCTGCTGTTCTACAGCCTCTCAGAATATAATTAGCATTGTCAGGCTACGTATTTTTCCTTGCCTAATTGCAAATGTTTTGTAACAACCCTTAGTCATGCTACCAGCCTAAGGTTGGGAATGCTCTGGGACACCTTAGAGCCCCTTCCACTACCTGAAAGTGGTACAAGAGAGCTGGAGAGTAACTTTTGAGGTGGGCTTAGAGTGACAGGACAAGGGAGAACTCCTTTAAACTGACAGATGGCAGGTTTAGATTAGATATTACGGTTAGATTTTAGTCTACAGAAGAGAAGGCTCAGGGGGTATTCATTTCACTCTACAACCACCTGAAAGGAGGCTGTAGTGAGGTTAGGGCTGGTTCCTCAGAGAGGTTGTGGCTGTCTCATTCCTGGAAGTGTTCAAGGCCAGGTTAGATGGCACTTAGAGCAAGGTGGTCTAGTGGATGCCCATGGCAGGGGCGTTGTAACTCAGTGATCTGTAAAGTCCATTTGAAACCAAACCATTCTTGATTCTGTGACATTCGGCAAAACTCCCTGGGCCTTTTACACCCAGGATGTGAGGCTTATTCCCAGGGACAGGTGCTGTGGAACAGAGACACCTGTCCCCTCCCATAGAGCTGTGTCAACATGGCTTTCAGCTGGCCCATCCTGAGTTCCAGGACCTGGTTCTTGCCACTCTCGGCAATGACCACCCAAGGTCCCACGTCCTTGGGGTTCTTCTCGCAGCAGGCACTCGACCAGGTGTAGCTGGGCTTATTATCTCTGCCTTGGCAATATTCCCAGGCACATTCCTTGGCATTATAGTTGTTCCCAGGCACAGACATAGGTGATGTTACAGCCCTGGGTCTTCCTGATCACAGTTTGCTGCTGTAATTTTTTCCAGGCGCTGCCAGTGGGTTTCTCATCCTGGGGCACTATGTTGGTGAGGGTGAAGGTAGCCATCCTGCTGCTGTAGTCGAGGTGATGGCCTTTGAGGTTCAAATGGCCCCAGTTCAAAACCATCAGGTTCTTGTAGTCTTGTAGGACAGCCTGGCTCTCGTGGAGTTTCTCTAGGCTGACATTGTAACCGTGTAAGAGGGTCGACCCTTTTTCCACAGTTTTGGGATAATTTGAACCCATCAGCTTGACAGGTAAAGAAGAGGAAAAAGTGTTAGTATTGGGGATGGGAGTGATGGAGCAGATTTCCCTGGAGCAGAAGTCTCTGAATGTCAGAACATATTTTTTTTTCACATCAGTGTATGAAAATGACTGGATTTGAGAGAAATTGCCCCTCATGGAGGAACTAAATCTTTTTTTAAAAAAGAAGTTCAGAATCCTATTGTTCTCCATTTGACTTGAGACCGTTTTGATCCAGCCTGCAGCCTGTGGTGGAGGTATGGGTGGATACATGAAACAATGAGCATTTTCCACTCCTATGTTTGAAAGGTGATTTTGGTGAGACCTGTCCGCTGCCGCATCTGGTTCCCTTTCCTGCCATCTTCTCCACACCCCACATCTGCCCAGCGCTCTCCCCAGATCCTCCCACCCCCATTCTCTGATTCCACCTGTGGCTGCTACAGGTGCACCACACTCCTGGAACAGCAGTGTTTGCCTCCTCTAACCCCAGACACGGGGAGATGTGTTGTGGTGATGGAGTCTGAGGTTACACGAGATGAATCCCAAACATTGGGTCCTTTTCCATGTCTGTGTAGAGGGGTGGGAGGAAATAGAAGTGTTTGGTTAAATGCTGCAGTTCATCTTTTAATGACTGGAGGGTGACATGCTGTAACAGAGGACACTCACCTGGGGCTCAGCCCACCATGTTTGAGGTCTCTTGCCAGTTCCAGGCTGGGAGATGTAAACAGAGCACACAGAAATACACTCGATTGTGCCATACAGGGTGGCATAGTAATACCTGTTGTTGTAGCACTGGCAGATCCAGGCTGGGTTCTAAATCTCCAGGGCTTCATTTGGGGAATATTCCCACAGAAAAACTGAGGACATGAACTTTCAAAGGATGCCACCACCTTGCAGTGTCCCAGCCAGAGGCAGCTCATCCAGACCTGCAGCAGCAGCACAGCATCATAGGAGGATTTCAGGAGAAGGGTTCTTGGTCCCCTGGAAGGCAAATGGAGAGGGACACTGAACTTGGACAGAGCATGTCATGGCCTGGAGTAATTTTTGTGCAGGTGGGACACAGCTGGCAGAGGAGGGGAGTGTTTCCACTGCTCATTCATTCACAAGGAAATTGGACTAATTTTCCTGCACTTCCAGAAGTCCAGGAATACTGTAACAACATGTTGGTTGTTATAACCAGAAATAAGTAGAAGAAGCAATGGACCTCTCCTCATACCCCTAGGGTGGAGAAGCTCCTGGTTTTCCATTTCACTGCTTTTTATAAAATTTGTGCTCCAGCCCTTAATAACTGGCACTGCTCTGCCTTTCATGTCAGTGCAGGCAGTGCCCACGTGTTGTCCAGACCTGTGCACTTCCTGGATGGAGAAGTGCTGGGAGTGATGTTGAAGGAGCTCTGCTGCTCATTGATCCAGCTCCCATGGGGTCTGTTTTGTAAGACAAACCTCCATTTATTCAACTTGTAAGAAATCCTATTGGATCCTCCAGTCTTCTCCCAGTTGGGAGCCCAGAGATTCCTAGACAAAGTACTTCTGGCAAGCTTTCCATGTCATGTTTGAAAAGAAGCAGGACTTCCAGCACTTTCCTAGAGAAATTGTTCCAAAGTCCAGATCTGGCTTCTCCCCAGGGATGTTTTCCTGATTCCCACCTCAGTTTTCTTTCTATCAGATGCTACAGGCAGCTGTCCAACCTCATGCTCAAGTCAGGGCAAGCTGGGAGGTAACTGAGCAACTGCAGGGAAATGGAAAAGCCTCTTGTGACTGCAGTACTGGAAAAGGGGATTTTGAACCAGAGGAGAGTAGAATTTCCACTTTAATGCCCGGCACTCAGTGCTCTGCTCCAGTTGACAAGGTGGTGATCAGTCACAGGTTGAACTTGATGATCTTGGTGGTCTTTGACAAACTAATTATTCTGTGATTCTACTGAAAAAATGAGGGACCACCAAAGTCTTATCCTGAGTTTTCAGTCCCCATGGAAAAACAAAGTGAATAGCCAAAGAGATGCTAAGGAGATTGAGCACAGCAGGTCTTCAGGACAGAGTAAATCACAGCAGCAGAAGCCAAATGGGCATAAGAAAACAAAATCTAGGAAAGAGAAATGTTGCTTGGACATGTAGATCAAGGAGATATGTGCTGTTCAGGACTGCTCTCCTTCGAGGGCAGCAAAGATCCCACGGCCACAGCAGGATCTGGAGGTGTCTGGACACTGGACATTCCACCCTCGCTGACCTGTGTGCCACCTGTGGTTTTTGGGAGGTACTCTGCTGGTGTGAGCAAGGACAGAGACAGAGACACCTCAGCCAAGGCCAGCACACTTTGCAACAACCAGGATGCTGAGACATGCATGTCTCACCTTCCTGCTGTGCCGAGTATGTTCACGGAATCTTTATAGGCAGAATCATAGAGTGGTTTGGGTTGAAAGGGATCCCAAAGGTCATCTCATTCCAACCCCCTGCCATGAGCAAGGACACCTTCCACTAGGTCAAACTGCTCAAAGTGCCATTGAACCTGGCCTTGAACACTTCCAGGGATGGGGCAGCTGCATTTCACCTCTGCCAAGTGTTCAAACGAGTGTGAGCCTCAAGTGATGGTTAAAAAACTGACCCAGACCAGACCAAAGATTTGAGGTTCCCAGAAAAGGCAACAGCTGCTTCTTCTGTCCCTCCCTTGTGTCCCAGAAGTGATCCTAAAGCACCTCTGCTGTGCAGCTCTCCCTTAAGGAACACGGCCCATCTCTCATGTGAACAACACAACCCTTGTCCAGGGACACGTAAGAAGTACCACTTTTATGGGAAAAAATGTGAGAAAGAGATTGACTGTGCACACCCCAGCACTTCTGTGGGTTGGGTGTTGATGGGTGAAGAGATGGCAAGCAAGGAAAAAGCAGGATGTTAGCCTGGGGAGCAGGGGTAAAATGTGGGTGGCAAAAGCAGTGATGCAGAAGGGAAAAAGGAGCGCTGTGTACGTACCTGTGACACACGAAAACCCTAAAATAATCTAATAGAAAAAAATGTTACAAAAGAAGAAATAACCCCAAAATATCTGTTTATGGGATTCATTGATCCTAACTCAGGCTTTTAAAAACAAATTTCCAAACCTGCCCTTTATAGTCAATGGAGAGGAAAAGGTGACTCCAGGCATGAGTTTGTGTATAAAGACAGTCAAAGCTGACAGCTTGGTTATGGATGTCTGACTTTAAGATACTTAAAAGCCTTGTGCAAAAAATCCACCCCCTCTCCTGCTGACTCTGTTTTTGGGATATATCTGGAAAAGCATTGCAGGCCAAGCTAGTAGGTTTGACTGGAAAGGTTCTCACACTGTGCAGTTGTTCCCCAGGTAAAAGGGAAGCCCCAAGGTATTGAAATAACTCTGGAGCCTGGATTGGTGGAATTTCCTTTTCTTTCCACCATGCAGTGAGAACAGCACACTTCTTCCCATAAGATGCTTTATCATAAGATACAGCAACACTCACAACTGCACTTTGATTTCAGTAACATGTTGGTCTCTACAGAAACTAACCCATGCTG